ACCATGCCTGGCTAGGTTTTCTAGTTTTGGTAAAGATGGGGTCTAGCTCTTGTTCAGGCTGGTCTCGAACTCTTGAGCTCAAGCAATCCACCCACTTCAGCCTCATAGAATGCTGGGGTTACAGGCGGAGCCATGGCATCTGTCCTATAAACAAGCTTTAATTACTTTAAGGAGATAGAGAATTTTGAGTTTTGTAGGTAGAAGAAACTTGTGTTCTTAAATGATAAACATGAATTTTGTAAAGTTAAGTTGTAGTTGGCAAGAGTAAGAGAGGTATATTGCCTTTTCAAGCAATTTTCTTTACGGGAATTATTTATGGTTGAGGAGTGTGCCACCCATTAGTATAGTTGGATAAAGATTTCATCACATCCCTTCAGCCTTTCTAAGGAAAGTTGTAAAGAATGATTGCTTGAGCCCAGGAGTTTGAGGTTGCAGTGAGCTGTGATAATGCCTTTGCATTCTACCCTGAGTGACACAATAAGACACTGTCTCAGAAGAAAAAGAAAAGAAAACCTAAAATGTTAGTATGTAAAAATTATTACATATCATTGTAACCACGAATTTTGTGTTTTACTGGCTCAGCTTTATAATTAGAAATACCATTAGAAACACTGCTTCTGTTCCCAAAACACTTAAGAAATAGTTTTACACCATTCAGAAAATTCCTTGAATGAAAGGTAACTAGACAGGCTAGTTAAAAATCTCACCAGAACAGTTTGAAAATAGCAGTAAGAAAAGTCCTCACATAAAGACTATTAAAAATGTAGGAAAACTTTGCCTGTATCTATTTTTCTTATACTTTGCATAAGTTACTGGGTTAGTTTGCTTTCTTCTCCTCTCACCTTTCTGTGACACCATGTCTTTTCAGATCAGGACATGAGTGCTTTGACATAATTTGATGATAATAACAGCCACCAGTGTCCATTTGATATTCTCCTTGTCTTGGCTGCCCTCTAGAGTTGTTGGAGAAGGATCTTATAGTATTAAATCTTTTCATCCACTTTGACATCTCGTAAAAGCTCAGTGAAGTTAAGTAGATGAAGGACTTTTCTGCTTGAAGTGTGTAACATTTTTGTGGCTCCTTATATATTAACCAAATTATAAAAATGCTTAAGTTTATCCCTGAAATGTGTTTACAATTCATGTACATTTATTACATAATAGAATATGTTATATAATAATATAATCATGAGGGCAAGTTTCTGTTGTGAAGTTCTGTTGTGTTTTGAGTAGATTGGTTATTTTTTAGGATTTTTGCAAATGTAAGAATAACTCAAGAAGTGAATCTAATAATGGGAGGTTTCTTACTTCAGTGTTCCTGTTTGCTAACAAAGATGGCTGTGTCACCAAAACTGTGTTAGTGGAGCTAATTACCAGGCTGTTGCTGAGTTGTAGCTTAGCCCAGGTTTCCTTGTTATCAACTTTGCCTCTAATGTTTTCTTTTCATTTTTATCAGCTACTCTTTATGGCCTTCCCCAGTGGACTCCCCCCATTCACTCTACCCTCCTGCTATACTTTTCTTTCTGTTGCTTTTCTGTGACTTAATCTCTTTAGGGCTTTCTTTGCCCTGGGGGTATGAAGGCTGAATGGGAGTGAGCCTTGGGCACTACATCCCAGTTCTCCCACTTGAGTGCAAGATGAGAAATTATACCACCAGTGGGTGGCTTGATGCTTCAGAGTAGAATAGCACAAGTCCTGGGCAGGCCCAAAGGTCAAAGCTTGGCTTTATTGGCATGGTAGCAACACTTAATCTGGAATTGTGAGATAATTCAGGATATTTTGGAACTTGTCTACATTTTAGGGTTGTCTGTTTTAGAGCTATAATAGGTGGCCTCTTACATGCCTGATTAGTTGAAAAGGGCAAGTTTTGCTCATGAAGTTTCTGTTACGGATTGAGAAGATTAGTTATTTCTCAGGACTTTTGCATATGTCAGAATAACAAATGATAACTTTTATTAGTAAGTTTTATCTCCACTCAAGATAAAGTTTTATCTATCAAAGATAAGTTTTATCTATCACTCAAGATAGAGAGTAGATCACAGAGATGCTAAATACACAACCCCAAATCATATAATGAGTATTCATGAGTGACAAGAATAGGAATCTGTAGTCCCAGCTGTACTTTTGCCACCAAGCAGACATTTCCTTTCCACTGCTATAACTTGTGGTTAGAAGATTTTTTGCTTCTGGATTAATTTATTTTCAGTTAAATATAATTCTTTGATCCTGTGTGTGCTTTAATTCTCAAGCAGTGAATTGTCATTCTGATTTTCTAGTCTTCTTTCTTCTATTATTATTCAATAGAAAGTTATTTTTGTTGAGTTGCATGCTGTGTCCTCCCCCTTCCAACTGATCTGTAAGCTTTCCCATTGGCTTTCTTTCTGTTTCCTGCTGCTTTCTTGCTTCATAATTGAAGGGAGGATTCAGACCCATCCAGGTAACAAACTACTAGTTCTGCATGGCCTCATTATTACTGTTTCCTTATTATTATTACTATGATATTGATTGCTGATAAATTGGTATGGTCAGACTGGAAATTTGCCATTAGTATATTGTTTCAAGGCTCCTAAGCCTGCAGGGAGAACCATAAATATGTAGTTGCTATTTGGGAGATTTGAACCCTGCTCATTCTGGACCATTCTTAGGTCTGTCTAGATTCTCTACTTCTATTGCAAACTGTTCAAGAAAGCAAATTGGGTTCAGTTTAGTATAGAATTGTGCCACCTTTTTGAAAAACAGGGCTTAGTTTGGCATGTGACAGCCTACAGATGGTTTTAATTTAGCTTGACCTTGATGTACTAGGATGAAAAATTTTATTTTCAGACAGATTCCTTGCTCTTCTAAGTATTTTACAAATTACTTGAATGGTAGTTTTGTAGAGGACTATTTTTAATTTGTAATGAGCCACCTACTTTTAAGAAAGAATTGATGCTTTTATATAATACAGAAAAATGTTTAGGAAGATACTGGCTACCCCTTTTGTTATATTAATATTTATTATCCATTTTAAATTACTGATTAAGGTATAGAATTTTGATGTAGCAGAGACTTAAAGTTGCGACTGCCCTACTGTTTTCAAACATGTGATGACATTGATCAGAACTTGATAGTATGGTACATTTTGGGGGAACCCAGCCATAGGTAATTTATGTATATTGTACTCTTTTTATGTATATTGTACTTCGAATTCAGATCAATCAGATTTTTATTAGTGGAAAACAAGGTGAAAGCTCAGATAGTAAAATTTATATATTCCTTTTTGTAAAAAGAAAAAAAAAATTTCTTTCTCCCCTTCCCAGTTTTTCCAGAGGCCTCAAATACAGCCTCCTAGAGCTACCATCCCAAACAGCAGTCCTTCCATTCGTCCTGGTGCACAGACACCCACTGCAGTGTATCAGGCCAATCAGCACATCATGATGGTTAACCATCTGCCCATGCCATACCCAGTGCCCCAGGGTCCTCAGTACTGTATACCACAGGTAAGTATCTCTTGGCCTGGGTGGCTTGATAATAGAGGGGGAATTAACCCAAATTCTTATCAGAAGGAGCTGGGAGGAGGGTGGGTTTTTGGTGATATCTGGACTTTTTTATTGGTTTTAAGTATAGCCATTTTGTCATTTTACATAATATTGCATGGAGATACTTCTGTACTCTTCTATTAAAATTTTCTCAGATGATAAATTATTTTTATGTCCTAGCTTCTCCACCATCTCTTCCCCATAGCCAACTTCTCTAAAATGGACTTAGTAATTATATTCTTCCTGTGATATTATTTAATGTATTTGAAAGCTACTGGCTTGATCACATTTTACAGTGAGCTGATGTCTGCTGTGCACTGATGTTCTGTATGGCTTTACCTAAGGTTAATCTTTTTCTTTTTTCTCATTGCATCTTGATGGCAAGTAGCATTTTAAATGCGTACAATCCATTGGCTTTTTCTCATTAAAATGATTCTCTTAACACACAGGAAACTTTATTTTTGGTAGTAAGCTGTTTTCTTATCATTTATACATTTCTATGCTTTCTCTTTCCTAGTATCGTCATAGTGGCCCTCCTTATGTTGGGCCCCCACAACAATATCCAGTTCAACCACCAGGGCCAGGTCCTTTTTATCCTGGACCAGGACCTGGGGATTTTCCCAATGCATATGGTAAGTAGGGGTGGGAGAGAAAGCAGTTATTTATTTATTTTTTTTTAGTTTATTCTGTTTATTTAATTTTGTTGTTTGGTAGTCAGTTTACACAATGAGGTTTAGTGGTAGGAAGGATTTTTAAATAAAATGTTGCTAGTGGTTCTTTCTTTAAAGCTACTTTCTGCTTTTTTTTTTTTTTTTTTTTTTAAAGACTGGATCTCCCTATATTTCCCAGGCTGATCTCAAACTCCTGGGCTCAAGCAGTCCTTCCACCTTAGCCTCCCAAGTAGCTGGGACTGTAGGCACACACCACTACATCCAGCTTTAAAAGCTGTTTCTTAGAGAATATTTATAATAGTAGAGTATTATAGAGTTATATGTAGTTAATGACAGTTTCTGAAGAAGCTGGTAATTCTGCTAAAAGAACCCGTGTGTCCGTGTTCTGACGTTTGCTACCAACTCATTATTACCTAAATTGTTACTGATGGCATAAATATACTTTATCTTCCATCCATGATTTCTTCTTCTCCAAGATTTACCTTACAGCTTAGAGATTTTGTTATTGTCTGTCTGTCTTTCCCACTAGAATGTAGTATACACAAAAGCAGGGATTTTTATTTGTTTCTTTCACTGCTATATCCTCAGTACCTAGAATAGTGACTTGTGGGCACATGGAGAATATACATGGGATAACTGAATACGACTCAGTGAACCTGTGGGTTTCTTACTTGCAAATTATGATAAGACATGTTCCAGGGAGCGGTTTTAAGTATTAGTTCAAATAGAAATGCTTTGAAAATTTAAAAGTGTTTCTAATTTTTTTTTTTTTAATTGTTGGGGATTCATTGAAGGTATAAGAACCAGGTTACAATGATTGCATTTGTTAGGTAAAATTCCTCTTATAATTCTGTCCTGCCACCAAAAGATGTGTCACACACTGTGATCCCCTCCCTCCTCCCCTCTTCCCTCTCTCTGCTCTTTCCCTTCCGCCATTTCCCTCCCTCCTCCTCTCTCTCTGCTCTCTTCTAAGTGTTTCTAATTCTAATGCCAAGTTTATATTTGGCATGTGAGCTGCTTCTGAACTGAGAAGGAATGAAAATTTAATGCAATAAAATTTTTAAAATTAAAGAAAAAGTTAAAAAGTAAAAATTTAATTCAACTACTGAATATTATTATGCTTTGTTTATTCCTTAGCAAAGGAGCTATAAGGGATAAAATATATTGGATACTAGAAAAATTAAGCCTCAGAAGTCAGTAAGCATTGATCTCATCCACTACCAGCAAAGCAAGAACATACTAAACAATTTTAATAAGTTGAAAATGGTACTCTATCCTTTAGCCAGTTTCCTAACCTTGGGATTTAGTAGCTTAGTTAAGAACCTTTACAACAGAATTGATTTGTATTAAAAGCCCAAGAGACTTGGGCAAATTGGTTCACACTTGTAATCCTAGTACTTTAGGAGGCCAAGTGGGAGGATCATTGGGTCAAAAGCAGGTATCCTCAAACTATGGCCTATGGGCCACATGCGGCCTGCTGGGTGTTTTTGCCGCTGCTGCCTGTCCTGCTTAGCAGCCAACTATTTCCAGGGCCCATAGTCCGACCCTCTAATGGTCTGAGGGACAAAAACTGGTCCCCTGTTTAAAAAGTTTGAGGAGCCCTGGCCAAGAGTTTAAGACCAGCCTCAGCAACAGAGCAAGACCTTGTCTCCGTAAAAAAGTCAGAATATTAACTGGATGTAGTAGTGGATGCCGATAGTACCAGCTACTTGAAGGCTGAGACAGAAGGAGCACATGAACCCTGGAGTTTGAGGTTGCATTGAGCTATGATGATGCCATTATACTCTAAACCTGGCAATAGAGCAAGACTTTATTCCCCCCTCCCCCCAAAAAAACCAATTCCAATCTGATCAAGTTAAAAAGCTTTTGCACAACTAAGGACACAATCAACAAAGCAAATAGACAACCTTCAGAATGGGAGAAGATATTCATGAGTTAAGGATCTGACAAAGGACTAATAACCAAAATCTACGAAGAAGTCAGACAAATCAGTGACAAAAGAGCTACTCCATTAGTCATTGGGTAAGGGACGTGAATAGCATCTTTTCCCAAGAGTACAGACGAATGGGCAAAAAACACATGAAAACATGTTCATCTTCCCTAATCATCAGAGAAGTACAAATCAAAACCGCTTTGAGATATCACCTAATCCCAATGAGAATACCCTATACCACAAGATCCCAAAGTTGCAGTTGCTTGTGTGGGTATGGAGAGAGGGAACACATAGGCACTGTTGCTGGGATTGCAAGCTAATATAGCCTTTTGGGAAAGACATGGAGAATCCTAGAAGAGCTAAAAGAAGACCTTCCATTTGATTCTGCAGTCCCGTTACTAGGTATCTACTCAGAAGAAAATATGTCATTTTATTCTAAGAATAGTTACTCTTGAATGTTTATAGCAGCTCAATTCATAATCACAAAGATGTGAACACAACCCAAGTGCCCATGAATACTTGAGTGGATTAATAAACTATGGTATATGTTTACAGTAGAATACTATACAGCCATGGATTTAGAGAGTATTCGTTCCCTAAGTATCTCAAGAATGGAAAAGCAAGCATCCCATGTACTCAATACTATTTTGAAACTAGTAGATTAACAAGATTTCTCTTGTGTAGTAGGCCCACACAAGAGAAAAACAAATTCAAGAAGGAGTAGAAGGAGATTAAGTTCCCACCTAACAAGTACAATGTTGGGATGTATGGCACACTTCATGGGTGAAGGACTCAATTGCATCTCAGACTTTACCTTACAAATACAAACAGTATAACTGAATTGTAGGTACCCTTACATTAATCTGAAAGATTTTTTATAAATTTCAAGAAAAAAATTTTTTTTTCACTTGGAGAGGTAACCAAATATTACCTGGCTTTAATTTTAGAGATTGGAAATACTTCCTGTTATTACCTTAGTAATTACTGCCTTATGTTCCTCCATATTCTTGGGGAGTATATTCTAGGACCCCCAGTAGATTCTTGAAACCCTGGTTAGTGCTGAACCCTATATATATTATGTTCTTTTGACCTAATAACCAACAGGACCACTAAGTGACTGATAGGCAAGTAGCATATACAATGTGAATACACTGGGTGATTCTTGTCTTTGGTGCAAGAGTTTATTATGTTATGAGTAGATTGTAGATTAGAATGGCTTACAATTTAAAATTTATGTATTATTTATTTTTGGAATTTTCTGTTTAATGTATGTGGACTACAGTTGACCACATGTAACTGAAACCGTGGAAAGCATAAGCATAGATGGGGGCTACTGTATTTTATAACCTCATTAAATGTCTGAAATACATATGTTTATTTAACTCAGGTTTATTAACCTATATCATTATTATGAAATGTTTTCAAAACAATATGTTATATATATGTGAGTTTTGAAGTTAAATATATACGTATCACTCAGGTTTTGGGGCCTTGTTTTTGGTGTGTGTGTGTGTGTGTGTGTTTGAGTTTTTGAAACAGAGTCTTACTCTGTCACCTTAGGGTGGAATGCAGTAATGCATTCATAGTTCACTGCAGCCTCAAACTCTTGGACTCAAGCAATCCTCCTCTTTCAGCTTCCATAGTAGCTAGGATTATAGGTATATGCCACCACTCTGGGCTGATTTTGAAATTTGTTTTGTCAAGACTGGATCTTGCTATTTTCCTGTACTGGTCTCAAACTTTTGGCCTCAAGTGATCCTATGGCATCAGCCTACCAAAGTGTTGTGATTATTTATAGGTGTGAGCCACTGGGCCTGGCTTCACCCAGTTTTTGACATAGAGTATTGCTAGGGCTGTTGAAGTATTTGTCATGTACCCGCTTGAACTTAGCTTTAAGTCACAGTTCATACAATTCTACTGCCTTTATATTAGACCTTATTATGAAAACTTAAATCTAAATAGAATTATATGTTTTTTTGAGACAGAGTCTTACTTTGTTGGCTTCAGTAGAGTGCTATGGGGTTATAGCTCACAGTAACTTCAAACTCTTGGGCGGAAGCAATCCTCTTGCTTCAGCCTCCCAAGTAGTTGGGACTACAGCCACCCACCACAATGCTCTTGCTTAGGCTGGTCTCCAACTCCTGAGCTCAGGCAGTCCACCCACCTCAGACTCCCAGAGTGCTAGGGTTACAGGCCTGAGTCATCACGCCTGGCCTTATAAAATTATAATTAAATGTAATATTGGTTGTCCTTATCTAGAATTTTTTAATAGAAAACTGTAAGATGGGCTTGGCACCGCAGCATAGTGGTAATGGCACCAGCCATATAAACCCAGGCTGGTGTGTTCGAACTTGGCTGGGGCCAGTTAAACAACAATGACAGCTGCAACCAAAAAATAGTCAGGCACTGTGACAGGCGTCTGTAGTCCCAGCTACTTGGGAGGCTGAGGCAAGAGAATCACTTAAGCCTAAGAGTTTGAGGTTGCTGTGAGCTATGACGCCCCAGCATTCTACCCAGGGGCATAGACTCTGTCTCAAAAAAAAAGGAAGGAAGGAAGAAAAAAAAAGAAAAACTGTAAGATGGATTCTGGTATTTTCAGTCAGAGTAAATATGATAAAATTGACAGCCTTTCTCTTTCAGTTTTATGACAGTATGCAGCTGTGTCTTCTAGTTTACAAAATCATTTTTAAAGGTGTCACACTGAATCCAGGCTGCTAATTACTCAGAAATTATTCAAATCATTTTTGACCCTTGGAAATATCATCATCAAAATTCATATAAGTCTGGCAGCCATCTTTATTGCTCTTAATACTAGTACTGTAGATGTATAGTAAAATGTAGATGAGTTTACGAGTAGGAAAGTGATTTGTATATTTGTACATGTAATATACCATTTTGGCTTTATTTTTATTAGACATACATCATTTTTGTGCATTTTTGTAATACAGAATGTTTAGGTGCATTTTTATCTTAGGTATTATTGATGTCTGTTTTCTTTCATAAATATTCTTTTTTCTCCAATAGATTC